CCACCCAAGAATATGTCTTCATTTATAATCTCAGCCACTGTCTTTTCATTAAAGAGTTCACTATTATTAATAGTTAAAAGTTAACTTTTCAAGATCATTTGAATAATGATAAACATACCTGACTGAGATCAATGGATTTACTAGCCAGATTAGAACAGTTACGATACCCTCAGATTCTCCAAACACAATGGCAGAAACACAGTCTCTGGCACCTAGTAGGAGCTCTGTAAATGTTTTGCTAATTCAAGTAAAATCATGCCTAGGGCTCTCTGGAGTAATACGTTCCCAAATACAACCAAATAAAATGTATTTAGAAGTTTATACGTATAATTTATGTATACATATAATTTGTTAGGTTTATCTTTTCTATTACATAAATTTGACAATGGTGATTTTATTGTTAACTTTTTTCCAAGATAATTCATAAGTTCACATATTGTGAACTTATCAAGCCACTTATATTAGGACAGGAAGTCCAACGCTGGAGAAAAATTTTATATTTTCAATCATGTTATTTGAGAGACTCACAGTAGAAACATATATCCCATCAACAGGAACAACAATCAACAAAATGAATAAGTAAGAGTTACAGGTTCAAGATACAATGTAAAACAATACATTAAATCATTGAAGAGACACTAAGAGAAGGCAAAGCAGGCAGTAAGGTCCAATTGACATTTCCTCTGCAAACCTACAAGAAGTAGAAACGAAGGGCACCCAGCTTTTCTATGGGTCATAGCTGTGCTCTGTGGTTTCTGGATGGTGGAGCTCTGCAGGAAGTCAGGCTATTTGATTGATGATGCTGTGTCTTGAGAGGCTCTCATAAGTACTTCTTAGTCATCTATCTCCTTTAAGCACCAGCACATAATACATTTCAAAGGTTAACCAGCATCTTAAACCTGCCTGAGAACTACACTTGGAATGTAAACACGAACTTCCAAAATTATGCTTTTCCAATGGGAGTGGGGGCAGGGAGGAGAGAAAATGTGGTTGTTTATAAACCAGATGTGGGACATAAAATAATCTTAAACATTACAGATCTTTTTTTCAGGATTCATTAATAATTTAAGCACTACTGAAATGCCACCAAGATGTATCACCAGTTGAAACACCTATGTTGTACTACGAAACAGCCACATAAATGAAATACCCCAAACTACAATGATATAACAGTCACTGATAACTTGCGCCATGTTCCCACAGTGGCCATTAACAGGCACCCAAGAGCACGGAGAATATTATTTCATGAAGCTACATATGGTGTCAAGTTTGGATGGAAATATTCACTGAGCTGAGCTGCAGTTGCTGTGGAACCTCAACTTAGATTTTCCCAACATTTGGATGTGTAAATCATCAGCTCCTACATGGTTTTATTCTGTTGTCTGGTACTTTTTTTAAGCTGTGGCTGAATGCGGTTACTTTCAGCAAGAACTAAACACTGAATTCCATTATAACTACGGTAAATAAAGCTGTTATTATATATGTCAAATCAATATTTGAGAACTATACAGTATTGGCCGGGTAAGGTGGCTCACGCCTGTAATCTCAGCACTTTCAGAGTCTGAGGTGAGAGGACCACTGGAACCCAGGAGTTCAAAACCAGTATGGGCAACATGATGAGACCCCATCTCTATTTTTATTTATTTATTTTTAAAGTAAAAAAAACAATAGAACTATATAGCTTCAATTTAAACTAAACAGTGTCAAAGAACTTTCAGATGAGACAATACAGCTGCTTTTTTTTCCTTTTTCCATTTCCTTCTCTCCATTTCATAGCAGAATACCAATTTTATAACATTATGCAAGTTATGTGCCTTTCTATGTTTATTTTTTATTTTTTTTTAAAGACGGTGTTTCACAATGTTGGTCAGGCTGGTCTTGAACTTCCAAACTCAGGTGGTCTGCCCGCCTTGGCCTCCAAAGTGCTTGGATTACAAGTGTGAGCAACCACGCCCAGCCCCTTTCTATGTTTCTATACCTTCTTCTATAAAATACGAACAATAAAAACATCTTTCTGGGCTGGGCTTAGTGGCTCACACCTGTAACCCCAAAAATTTAGAAGGCTGAGGCAGAGAATGGCTTAACACCAGGAATTCAAGACCAACCTGGGAAACATGGCAAGACTCGGTTTCTACAAAAAAAAAAAAAAAAAAAAAAAAAAAAGCCGGCTGAGACAGTGTGCACCTGTAGTCCCACCTACTGGGAAGGCTGAAGCAAGAAGACTGTTTGAGCCCAGCAGTTCAAGACTGCAGTGAGCTATGACCATGCCACTGCATTCCAGCCTGGGCGACAGAGTGAGACTCCACTTCTCTTTCTCTCTCTCTCTCTCTCTCTCTCTCTCTCTCTCTCTCTCACACACACACACACACACACACACACACACACACACACACACACAAGTTTAAAAACTCTTCCTCTTAGGACTACTGAGAGAATTAGTAAGAAAATCCACATCATAAGCATTACATGGTACCTGACACATAGTAATTACCCAACAAATGATAATTTATAAACATTATTGAAGACATAAATAGATAATACATAATACAGAAAACATATCTTGATAAATCTTTTAGGGCAGTTATATACAAATGGAAGACATTTTAAGAGTATATACATGTAGTCATCTATTTATACAATCTGCTTTGTAAAATGATTTAAAATGAAACACAGTACCCACTTAATCAAATAAAAAAACATATTATTTATAATTTAGAAACTTGCTGATACCTGGTATTTACTGTGCTTTGCTGTATACAAGATATTTTCATTGTAAAATGTCTTTAGGGCGAGTAAAGAAACCAAGAAAAAGATACCTAAATGCTATATACAATCAAGTAAATGGCAAGAAGAGGAAAACACTATGGGGTGGTGCTTGAAGACATTTTCAGAGAGAAAGCAGACGTGAAAAAAGTAGGAGGGCTCTACGATTTTTACCCTACCTGAAAGTCACAGCTTTATCAATGCTGGCAAAAGACACAAGACTCCAGGGTCCGAGACAAAGAACTATTCACAACTTGCAGTCACACCATTAGCCAGAGAATCATCCTTTTATGCACTGGTTACTCAGCTAAGATTCTCACAAGGTGATATGAAGAGGATCCAGGGACACTGGCACACACAGAAGAACCCTAGGCTTAGGGAACCCGAACCTTTTATACATACAGGAAGTATCCTTGCAGATCCTCTGCTGTCAGAGGAGATCCTATGCCTATCTCACTCTACAAACATCCTTCAAAAGATTGTCCACAACAAAGGCATCTGCTCTCTGTTTCTTTTTTCTAACACCTCCTCCTCTTAGACAAGGGATCTGTACAAAATCTATGAGAACCAAGAGGAGGTATCTTGAAACAGCAGAGTTTAATTGAAGGATTGACAAATAATAGCATGTGGATGACTGCTAGCAGACTAAAACTAGAAACATTAACAAACGCCCTATGATGACAACGCCTTCTGAATAGCGATATTAAATTCTACTAAAACTCTGCTATACTGAAAACAAAAATTCAGTGTAGAACTAAATGTTCAACCAAACAAAAGATCAAGCATGAAAAATGAAAGGAATTTTGAGACATGCAAGGAAGGTCTTTACTTCCTTCACATGAACACTTTCTTATAAAGCTCTGTTTGGATGTGCTCTAGCAAAACCCAGAAAGTTCAATAAAAAATCAGTCGGAACCCAAAGAAAGTCCTAGAATATAGGAGAAAAGGCAGTTTAAGGAAGCAGAAACCACTTCAGATTAGAGCAGGATAATGGAGAGGTCTAGTAAGTACATCTCCATGAGAAAAAAAAGAAACTAATAATGGGTCTGATACTGTTCTAAAAGTTATTTCATTCCCCTTTAGGTTTTCTCTTTTTTTGACCTGGAGTCTTGCTATTTTGCCCACTTCTGATTTTAGACTCCTAGGGTCAAGCAATCCTCCAACTTAGGCCTCCCAAGTAACTGCGACTACAAGTGTGTATCTCTTCAATGGGCTTAGGTCTGATATTTTTTAATATTTGAGAAATAAAAGGCATCTTGACAGACCTGACACAGAATGCAGGGGAAAAATAAAAAATATATACAGAGGAAACAAAGTAACATTAAAAAAAAAATAGCTCTAGGAGAAAAAAACTCTGTAAAAGAGGAAATATAATCAGAGTACCCTTGTGGTTATCCAGTGAGCAACTGTTACATTGCCATGTGCTATGACACTGCTATTGACTGAACTTAGACTTCGGATGTAACAGCATTGAGAGGATGGAAACAAGAAACTAGAAGCAGTATAAAAGGAACAACTCTCATCTTCCATATGGCAAGTCAACAGATGTCAGTAACTGGTAATCAGGGAAGAGCAACATAAATATATGATTTAGAAACATGGAAGTAAATATCAGAGCAGACATTTAGGGAGAAAGACTGGAAGAGCAGGAAGAGGGGCGCAGAGAGGCTGTTCGTTTTTATTGTAGGTCTTAGCATTATGTCTTTATTTTTATTCTGAAATGCCTGCCAAGGAGGTGAAGAGGCTTCTCGGTTCCAAGTAACATGCAGACTCTTAAGGCCCCCACAGGCTGCCTGGCACTGGACTGACAATGCAGGGTGGAAGGCAGGAGACCCCACCTGGCAGCAAGGCGGCATCATGCCTTGTTTTCAGGAGGAATGTGCACCTAGCAGTCCTCACAGCTGTGCAAGTGCCATTCTCTTGGGGTCCCTAGTAGACAGCTCAGGCTTAGGGACTCATATCAGGGGGTTGCAAGCGCTACCAGGACTGAAAAGCCTCATGCCCCAGGGAAGCCCAGTGTCTCTTGGAAAAATGCCACAGGCTTAAGTTGCTTTTCTCAGATATTTATAGTTTTACAAGTCTTGATAAGATTTACCAATCAGGGGTTACTTCTGGCATAAGGGCAGTTGACACACTATCTTTAAAAAGTAACTAAAATTTAACTTCTGATGCAAAAATCAGAAAAGAGCCAGACACTGTGGTGTGCTCCTACAGTCTCAGCTACTCAGGAGACTGAGGCAGGAGGATCACGTGAGCCCAAGGAGTTCGAGTCTGCAGTGAGTTATGTTTGTACAACTGCACTCCAGCCTGGACAACAGCATGAGACCTTATGTCTGAAAAAAAAGGAAAAAAAAATCCAAAAACTGAAGTGATCCTACTACAAAGACATACAGGACTTGTAACTAGAACATTTGAGACTAGAATCCTGACCCCATCTCTCAACACAAAAAGCAGAAACACGAGTGTTTACAAAACAAGAAAAACAACCACACTGTCTAATTCAGAGGAACACAATAAAACTTAATCTAGAAACCAGTCATCTGCATATGAACAAATTCTGAAGTCCAAAAAGTAAATATTTTGGATATTTATCACTTGAAAGAAAAGCCTATTAATTTTAAGACATATTTATCATTTAAAAAATGTTCTATACAAAATAAAATTATACTTCCCTACTTAAATTTTCTATATGTCTATCTTTGATTTTTATATTTAGGAAGCACAAAAATAACAGAAATTCTCATGGTACAATGTACAATATTTTCTGTCAAGTGTTTTTTAAAAGAATTATTCTTAACAGCAAAATACTTTAATCAATTCAAATACATCACTACAAAAAAACACTCAATTAAATGTTCTTTTCATACTTTTTAGAATGCCTCCACGATTTCCCTAACTTAGTGAGAGACATGTTAACTATTAGTGAGCCATAGTATCCTAGAGAAAATATTTATTAGGATGTTGACAGAGCACTTTTCCTTTGGATTACACTTGGTGAAAAATAATTACAAAGGGAATCTCCTAAGTATTACAAATAAGGTTCCAGAAGGCATTTGTGTTAATGTCCCAACTACTTGATTAACTGGCCAAATCACCAGGAAAACGAATTTCCCATTATACATGGAAAACAATTGAAAACATCTGTGGGCGAGAGGTCTTCACAATTGAAAACGATAAATCTACAGCAACCTTCCAAAAAAATAAAATCAGGAAATGTGTAATACAATTTAAATTCATGATCATTATATTCTGCCAGAATAAAAACATTCATAAAACAAAAACTGCAAATACTTTTAAGAAAAGACAACACAAGATATAATAAGAACAATATATAGCAATGAGATCTTTTAAAATTAAAAATATTCCTTTGTATAGGGAAATTAATAGTTGTTATGCTTTTAGACAAAGTCCAGTTCCTTATAATATAAACTGTGCTCTCCTGAAAAAAACTCAACACCAAATTATTCAGGGTTCTCTGAACAATTATTCAGCACCTGTGATATAATTACTGTATATGAGCTTCATCCCCTCAGGCTCCTTCTATTCTTATCTAAAGCTAGTACTGATCAAATGTAGTATTTAACATAGTCCATGAAATTTCCATTTCCCAGAGAAATGAAAAGCCTCCTGTCTTGAAACATACACAACATGACTCCACACAACCAAAGGCAAAAGAAGAACAGATGGTGCTGATTTATGAAAGCTATCTAACCACAGAGAACAACAAAAAGTATGCATCACTGCGCCAGTTCCACATACAATGGAATCTTAAAATTCAATTCCAATATGTAAGTCTTCTCATTGATTATTAGGATTCCAGAGCATGGAGGAATCTTCTTGGAAGATATTTAGTCCAATATCTAACAGTACACTGCAATTTGTCTTCACATTCTTCTTCCATTTTGCCTGTCATCAATGATTCACAAAAGAAGATTTACATATTGATGCTTACTAAGAAACACCGACTCTAAAAACTAGTCCCAGCACCCCACCTGCCATCATCTACCATACTCCTATACATATTTATCCCAAACAGATGACCGCTCAAGCAGATGCCACCATGCCAGGAACACTGGCACTGCCTGTTTTGCACAAAGTGCTCTGTACTGTTCAGGTTTGTCCCACCACACACTAGTGACCAAGTGGCCACCTTCTAGTTGACATGACTTTACTCAGACCAATCTTTCTTCAGAAGTGCTTGTTTACCAGAAAAACACTTACTTTTCTTTTGAACATTCCTGAAAATATACTGTAACTTACACGCTGTTGAAATCTATGGATTCTGTGATCTGAGCAATCTCGCCTTTCTAACATTAAAATTCTAATCCTCATTGAAGTGACACTTTAAAATGTTTTATTTTTGAGGTAACATAAGTAATATGCAGGCATGTAAACTATACTTACATATTCAAAGGTATATTATAAGACTATGAAAAACTATTTTCATTCAAAAAGATCAATTTCTCCATGGCTTTAAAATGCTTTTGTTTGTGTTATGTGGGTGTGTGTTTTTTGTTTTTATAGAGATAGGGTCTCACTCTATCACCCAGGCTGGGGTACAGTGGTGTAATCATGTCTCACTGCAATTTCAAACTCCTGGCCTCAAGTATTCCTCCCATCTCAACCTCCCAAAAGTGCTGGCTTTACAGGCATAAGCCACCACACAAGGCCTAAAAATGTTTTTAAAATTTGGCAGGGCACAGTGGCTCACACCTGTAATCCCAGCACTTTGGGGGGCTGAGGTGGGCGGATCACCTGAAGTCAGGAGTTTGAGACCAGCCTGGCCAACATGGTGAAACCCTATCTCTAATTTAATACAAAAATTAGCCGGGAGTGGTGGCAGGCACCTGTAATTCCAGCCACTCAGGAGGCTGAGGCAAGAGAATGGCTTGAACCGGGGAGGTGAAGGTTGCACTGGGCTGAGACACTGCCATCACACTCCAGCCTAGGGAACAAGAGTGAGGCTTCATCTCTAAATAAATAAATAAATAAAAATTGGCAGGTCGCAGTGGCTCATGCCTGTAATCCCAGCATTTTGGGAGACAAAGTCAGGTGGATCACATGAGGTCAGGAGTTTGAGACCAGCCTGGTCAACATGGATGGCAAAACCCCGTCTCTACTGAAAATACAAAAATTAGCCAGGTGTGGTGTTGGACACCTGAAGTCCCAGCTACTTGGGAGGCTGAGGCAGGAGAATCGCTTGAACCCAGAAGGCGGAGATTGCAATGAGCTGAGATCCTGCCACTGCACTCCAACCTGAGCAAGAGAGTGAGGCTGTGTCTCAAAATAAATAAATAAAATGAGATAAAATTAAAATTGACGAAAGTCTACTAAGATGTACTAAGGCTGTAACTACAATAATTTTTATATCTATTTTTATTTAGATCAACAGTAGGCTAAAGAAATATTCTCTTGCAAGTGATACGTGCAAATCACATCTTAAAAAGGCTTAAACCTAACAAATTTTAAAAATAATACCAAAACACAAAAATGATCATTGTTAGTAAATACTGAGGACTTCCTAGGCACCACTTAGTTCTTTGGTCTTCAATACGACCTCAATGTAATCCTCAATACAACCCTTAAAAGTGTTTTAATAAACAAAACATATGGGACTTTCTATGAATTAAGTGTGTACTGAGGCTCTTTCCAAACATAACCACATGATAGGTTCCCGAGGATCTGGGCACTTTACAGTAGGGATAACAGAGCTGTGCTGCTGACATGCAAAATGTTTTTTAATAAGGGTTACAGAGCCTGGGTGGGAGTCCAGCCTCTGCCATGTCCCAGTCATGGCACTAAGCAATAGTTTTCCTAATCTGAATAAAGAAAATACATTTAGCTTATAAGTCTGCTGTAATGGACTCATACATGTCACTACTCGCAAAACCCTTTACACATAAACAATTTTACTAATCTACAATGCATCACAAACTGTACAATCTTTCATGTAATCCTCACAAGATAGGCATTCTTATTTTGAAGAAATTAGGCCTAGAAAAGAGTTTGTATTGTTAGAGGTGCGATTTGAAAGTTGCATCAAGGACTATGGGGTTCTTTATTTTCACCTTTTTTTTAACCCTACTTGAGTAGTGGAAGAGTGATCCAAAATTATTAAGAAGTGAATGTAACCCAAGCCAACTAGTTAATGTCAGGGCCACGATCTATCAGAAAAATTTAAAAGCTAAAAGTTATGTTATTAAAAACCATTAAACTCTAAACATTCTCACTTCATATATGAAGTGAGAATTCCTATCTTTTAAGACAGAAACATATAAATAATGAATATCAAGTGGTATTTCAAGGAAAATATTACCCAAGGTTATTTCTGGATGACAGGATTACAACCAATTTTTACTGTCTTTATAAGTAAGCATTCTGGACAATGAGCATAAATTCTTTTTAAAATAAAGGATATGGGCTGGGTGCAGTGGTTCACGCCTGTAATACTAGCACTTTGGTAGGCCAAGGCAGCAGACTGCTTGAACTCAGGGATTCAAATCCAGGTCTGGGCAACATGAGGAAACCCTATCTCTACTAAAAAATACAAAAAATTAGTTGGGCGTGGTGGCAGGTACCTGTAGTCTCAGCTACTCAGGAGGCTGAGGCGGGAGAATAACCTGAACCCGGGAGGCAAAGGTTGCAGTGAGCCAAGATTGTGCCACTGCACTCCAGCCTGGGCGACAGAGACTGTGTTCCCAAAATACGTACGTACGTACATACATACATACATACATACATACGTGAAAGATATTTTTACTTTTTTAAAGCTTACAATACTTTCATACACTACATTTTATACATATATGTTGCTGTATTATAATTTCTCTAAAAAGTGACTTTGCTAAGACACAAGGGCCTAGAAAGCAAGCAGAACATTCAGAGAATCCAAAGGTAGGACTGTTCACTGATATCAGTGTATGTCATATTTAATCGGTTTTAGAAATCATGCAGAGAGATTTTTCAAACATCAATGTTCCAGTCTAGTATTCTGAACGGTAAAAAGCTTGAGATGACAAAGAGACAAACAGATTGCTAAGATGTCCATCAAACAAATTAGACAATTGGAATAAATTTCTTTTTTTTTTTTTTTTTTTTTCTTTTTGAGATGGAGTTTTGCTCTTGTTGCCCAGGCTGGAGTGCAATGTTGCTATCTCGGCTCACTGCAACCTCTGCCTCCTGGGTTCAAGCAAAATTCTCCTGCCTCAGCCTCCCAAGTAGCTGGGATAACACGCATGTGCCACCACGCCAAGCTAATTTTGTATTTTTAGTAGAGACAAAGTTTCTCCATGTTAGTCAGTCTGGTCTCAAACTCCTGACCTCAAGTGATCTACCCACCTC